AGTGAGGGACTGAGTGTAGCAATCCAGGGAATGGAAATTAGAAAAAAAAATCATATAAAAAACAAATGTAGACACCTTATCAATAGATTAGTAAGCTGCAGTATAGTATGCTTTTGTTTTAAGGTTTAGATAGGCTTTAACAATGCAGAAAGATTTCTATGATTAGACAGGAGGCCATTAACATGATTTTGACAGGTAGCTTGCTCATGCTCTCTTCCCAGTATTTTATGATATGGGTGCCACTCAGGCTTGGAGTGATTCTCCAAATTTGTTTTACCACTTGAGTTTTTGGACCTTTTTCTCCCTTAAAGTGATGTTACATTATCTCTTCTCTTTCTGTATATGTATGATAGTACTGTAGTTATTTTACTTTAATAAAAACCATCTAAGTACCTTTTTTCCTAATACAGATGTCACATGACCCAACTCTTTTCCAACCCACCTGCAGGGAAACATTGGCAGGAGGAGCTTTCTAGCCCTCTGCTGCTGGTCACATGTTAAAAAGAAAAAAAAAAACAACCTTTGGATACAGAGAAAAAAAAAAAAATTATATCTATACACTGTTTTAATTCATCATACAAATATACATTTGAAATAAAATCTTTATTATTTTTTGGCAATAACATGGTGTGGTCGGAAAACATTTTGAAAAAAAATGCATTTCCTGTCATTTTTCCTAATGTAATATATGCACCCCCATATTTTTTTGCCATAAATATAATTAACAAAGTCGGGTGATTAGTTCAATCTAATTTTTTTTTCATTTTATAAATGGCAAAGAACAAAGACAAAAAAAAAAGAGACCATCCATCAGAAGTCACAGAAAGTATGAAACCACCACACAACAGGTATAAGGACATGAAGTTACAATGCTTTAAAGCATTTTAGCAACTCAGAACACATACTATAAGATATGAAACATCAAAAGAAATGTCAGCAATCGAAAGCGCATTCACCAAGTAATACAAATTCAGGTCTCAAAAAATGGAAAAATGGGCAGTATATGAGCCAAAAAGGAAAAAAAAGGTGCCAGAGAAAAAAAATGGTAGGGGTGGGGGATAGATGGAGGAAAAGTGAGGGGGAGGAACAAGGGGAAAATTAACTACACTCCTGGGATCCTGGGACACAGGAACCTGGGACGCCCAACTTAGGAGGAAAGTATGGCTTGAAACGCCTGTGAGTTACGGAATATGGTCTAGGCATCCCAGGTTGTGGTGTGTTTCTCCAACCTATCATGCTATCTTGGCTCTGAGCAAAGCGACGTACCCTTACATAGTGATCTATTTCTGTATGTGAACCTGCTTGCGCATGCCCCCCTGTCGATCCAGGGAGAGAAGATAGAACACCACACTGTGAGTAAAAGCACTACATTTTACACATGTTAGATTAGTACATTTAACCCTTTGATTGCCCCTATTAACCCTTTGATCATGCCTGTCACCCAGCCAGTGCCATTAGTAAAGTTTCAGTATGTAGAATTTTCCACTGATCACTGTATTACTGCCACTAGCGACATCGGATAGCATCAGGGTCAGTTAGCACCCTTCCCAGACAGGGTCAGCTAGCGTTATATTGCCTGCACACTGTCACACTAATGCTATAGGTTGCTGATCACCGCCATTACTAGTATTTTGTTTGTATGGAACAATATATTGATCATGACAGAACTATACTAGTGCCCCCTTATGTGGTGTCCCCAAAAATGCAGTGTTAGCAGAATCAGCCCCATTCACTGCCAGCACTAGTGTTTAGCTGTTTTTCACCAAAGATTTATATAAATTAATTGTGGACCAAAGCAATTTATATGCACAACAATATATTGCTGCCCACCCAAATTAAGCTCTTGCCAGACAATTTGCATGGAAACCTACCACAGTTTCTGAATTTAAAACATTTTTGGCCCTAACCCTCTGCAGGCATCATTCTGGTATTGTTTTTTAGCTGACAGTTAACTTTCACGTAAAATCAATCCTATTGGCTAATTAGCCACTGGATTGCTTCTACATGCAGTAGGAAAGGACTTCCCTGCTGCCTTCCACGGCTTTCTACCGTCCCACCGGGAACCTGAGAATGCAGCCGACAGAACCGGAAGCAATGAGCATTTCATCATTTCGGTTTCACCGGATAGCACCATTTTTAAATTGGGAAAGCACCTGATCACACCAATCTTGATGTGATCAGATGCTTTAAGGGCAGAGGAGAGATCTAGAGTCTAATAGACCCAAGATTTCTCCGAAAAGAGTACCTGTTACTGTCTATTGCTATTACAGGTGATATTTACATTCCCTGTGATAATAATAAAGGTGATCAAAACAAAACAAAAAAAAGGGGACAATGTAAAAATAAAAAAAAGCAAAATAAATAATTTTTAAAAATCACCCCCGCCTCCCCCCATGCTTGCATTCAAAGGAGAATGCAAACGTCAGTCCCGTGTCGATATGTAAACAGACATGCACCATGCATGTGAGGCATCACTGTGAACATCAGATCGAGAGCAGTTATTCTAGCACTAGACTTTCTATGTAAATCTAAAGTTGTAACCTGTAAAGGATTTTAAAGCTTCACCTATGGATATTAAAAGTGTATGTGTTTGTTGCCATTCCATGGACGTATGCAATTTTAAAGCATATCATGTTTGGTATCTATTTACTTGGCATAACATCATCTTTTATCTTTTATCAAACAATTTGACAATATATTGTGTTTTTGTGCCTTAAGATTCAAGTGTATTTTTTCCCAAAAAAATTGCATTTGAAAAATCGCTGCAATACTGTGTGACATAAAAAATTGCAACACCCACTGTTTTATCAGGCCTCTCTTCTTTAAAAAAAACACATAATGTTTGGGGGTTCAAAGTAATTTTCTAGCAACAAAAATGTTTGTTTTTTCGTGTAAACAAAAAGTGTCAGAAAAGGCTTTGTCTTCAAGTGGTTAGAAGAGTGTATGGCGTAAGCTTCTAATGTTGGCCCTGAAATGCCAGGATACTACAAGCACCCCCCCCCCAAATGACCCCTTTTTGGAGAATAGGCACTCCAATGTATTTGCTAAGGGGTATAGTGAGTATTTTGCCACAAGTTTTTGGAAAATTAAGAAAGAAAACAAAAAATTATTTTTTTCTTTTTCAAAACCTTTTGACAAAAAATTATATCTGCAAAATACTCACCATGCCTCTTATCAAATTCCTTGGGGTGTTTTCTTTTCAAAAACTGGTCATTTGGGGGAATGTTTGTACTATCCTAGCATTTTAGGGCGTCAGAAACTGTGATAGGTAATGAGAAAGTGACATGAGGAAATATGCCCTTTTGAAAGCCTGAAGGTGGTCATTGGATTTTGGGGTTTTTTATGTGGCTAGGCTGACAAAAAGTCTCTCACATGTGGTATCCCCATACTTGGGAGAAGTAGCAGAATGTGTTTTGGGGTGCTATTCCACATAAGTGACAACTTTGCGTAAAAAAAATATATTTTTTTGTCATTTTCCAAAAGGTGTGGCAAAAAAACTTCCATGGGCTCAACATGCCTTTCAGCAAATTCCCTGTGTTCTAGGAGGGGGGAGGAGGAAACTACTTACTGCTGCCTTTGCCACAGAATGCCATTCTGATCAAGAGGAATTGTGAGCTGATGTCTATGCAGGTAGTGGAAATCAGTGAGAGCAATTACAGGAGGTCAACATTACCAAAAGTATTTATTTCTGCACAGGGTGCAGACGATGCTATATTAGACCTTTTCTGCAGCATGGGTAGAATGATAGGTGATTATTTACATGCTTCTTTACATTTTCTCACATCTTCTCACCCTGTTTGGTGACAGGGTCACTTTAATTTTTTTTTTTTTTTTTTACACCAGCGCTCAGAGTAGGCCATGTCTGTGCCAGGAAGCTGTCATGAATGTGACAGTTTCCCACACAGGGCTTTATCCCTGGCCCCATTCAGCTGTAGGCCAGGAGATTCCTCAGCCAAAAGTTGAATGTAAACAAAGGTGCTTAGGATACTTGTGATGGCATTACCCAAATATGGCAATACTGTAAAAAGACACTCCTAGTCTAAATGTAAAAGCCAAAAACATACTCACAAACATGAGAAGGTACAAGCATTTCAAAACTCAACTCCAGCTAAGACGATGCTATAATTACTGCATTTGGAAAGCTGGTGCGTTTCGGGGTACATGCCTCCTTCCTCAGAGCAGGAGGCTATAGAATCCACCCACTGCTATGCTCTGTCAATCAAAAGCAATGCAGACATGATAGGAAACTAGTCTTTCAGTTCCTCATCAGGCTCAGCCCTATCCACTGCAAAACTCCTGTCGGTGTCTCCTCCCTAAGATAAGATATATATATATATATATATATATATATCTGGTTGGAGGTAGAGGCAGTTCAGGTAGAGTCGTAGAGAAGAGATGGGGCCCTTCTGGAAGCTATGTAGCCCTTAAAGCAAGTGGAATTCCCTGACTGAAGGATGCCTGGGGATCCAGATTCCCTTAGTCAAGCTTGGTCATGGGGACAGGAAAAAGGTTACACATAACAGGTAAATACTGACAGCTGTCTCCTGAAGACTATATATATCTTGTCGTTATTTCAAATAAACAGTTGGAATCAGGTTTGGACTCACCTCTTCTTCTTATAGATGACTTATTTTGAAGCTGGTTCCTGCCTACAGACAGGTCCATGAATATTTCCCAAGCTCCAACAATTTGGATCAAAGGCCTGACAGAGTTCTACAGGGTGCATATGACACTCTTTATGAATTAGCCCCAATGTGTGTAAGGTAATTGTCTTGAATGTTAATAAAAATCTGTGTCTTTTACTTCTGATGCCTAGATAGCTGAATTCAGCCATAATAGAGATTAATCTTCTCATTTTTGTACTTTCAATTTCTAAAGCAATATCTTGTATGTAAGATGTATAGTAACAAACCTTGAAGCTTCTCCAAGCCCCCCACAAAAAGAAATGCACGGTATATTGCAGTTTATCAGATAGATATATTTAAATAAGTAAAGTGCAGCAGGGGCGGACTGACAACTCATGGGGCCCCCAGGCAATAGGGGATCATGGGGCCCCTGTGTCCTTGCCCAAACTCAAAAAAGCCTATGAAAAAGGTACCACGGGCATCTCATGGGGCCCCCTACTGACTCTGGGCCCTCAGGCAGTGCCCGAGTTTCCAAATGGTCAGTCCGCCCCTGTAGTGCAGTTACTGTACCATTTTTATCAATTCACCCTCCACAGTGTCACAGTCTTCAAAGAAATCTTCATTCACAAATGGTATATGTAATGGACTGCCTGTCACCCTGATTAAGTGATTCCACTGGTTCCTTACTGCTGGGACACAGGACCAAGGTATTATAGCTGGGCATAGCACCCAAGACTAGACAACAATAGCTTAGGTGCAAAACTGGAACAGTTCATTGAACAGAAATACAGGTTTTTTACACTTCAGTCCCCACACGAACAATAAAAACAAATATTACACATTGGGATAAACATCCCATACTGATTAGATAACAGGGTCAAGTTGGACACAAGACTAATCACATCATGTGAGAACCTTAATGAGGACCAGCCACCAGACAAAAACAATAGATGAATCAAGTAACTCAATTAACAATGGAACAAATGCATAACAATAAATACATCACACATTAGTAAACAGATTACAGCAAGAGACCTCAGCATCATGTTGTTATGAGCTAATTATATCAACATCTGCTCTGAGTCTCTAAGTCTAGTAGGGAGGTTGAAGCAGTCAATGCTGGTTTGGGCAGAGTGACCCCAAATCTGTATCCTGATCCTCCAGTTCTCAGAGTCTGTGTGTTTTGGGGAGACATGGCTTGAATCCAAAGTAAAACTACTCCAAAAGGTCCCCCAGGCACACAGACCCCCTCAAACGCCAGGGCCCATAGTCAGTAAGAAAGAGGCTAGCCTGCAGTTTCCTCCAAAAAGACCCTGTCCCTGTGATTTTATGAAAAAAATTTAAAAAACATTTACGCCTTTTACCACCTCATGTATTCTAAATATTCTGTTACCTAAATTCATTATCTAATAGCTATTATAAACTTTGTCAGTTATTAGCAACTCTTGTTCACTAATTTTATTTGCAAGACTTCTTGTGTTTGCTAACATACAGTATATAGTATGGCAGGGCTCAAGCTTTCAAGTCCTAAGCTGCTAGGCAGGCCTTAAGAGTTACTCTCCACCACTTGCCCCACCCTGCCCCACCCCTAATTCTGCCCCTAAACACTCCCTCATTTATTACCTCATGAAATGACACTTTACATTAGGTGTTCCATCAGAGTCCCCCTTTACATCAGGTGTACCATTGGAGTCTTCCTTCACATCAGGTGTCCCCATCAGAGTCCCCCTTTACATCAGGTGTCTCCATCAGAGTCCTACTTTACATTGGGTGTCCCCATCAAAGTCTCTCTTTATATTAGGTGTCTCCATTAGAGTTCCCCTTTACATCAGGTGTCCCAACAGAGTCTTCCTTTACATCAGGTGTCCACTTTACATCAGGTGTCCCTCTTTGCACCAAGTGTCCCCCTTTACATTAGGTGTCCCCATCACAGTGCCCCCTTACATCATTTGAAACTCCTTGCCCCCTTGTACTCATCTTCTTGTGAATGCAGCTTCTTTTTCCTTCCCTTCACAGGTCATGTGATAAGTCACATGACAAGGGGAGAGAAGAAGGACACTCTGCCTTCATTCCTTAGTGCCAGCTGTCTATCACCCCCTGCAAGCTGGAGGGAGGAGAAAGCCTAATCATCCCTCCAGCAAGTGTCGGCAGATGCTCTTTGTGACCGGAGTGAAATCGCAATCACTGAGGAGCAGTGTGCCCCCCCTCAACACAGCGCTTGGGGCAGGTTGGTGTTTCCATCAACAATTGCTTCAAAATCAAGCATATATACGTGCTTTTGTGCGGCCCTGCCACCCCAGTAGTTCTGCTATAGGGGAGCGGGGAAGCAGTTAACCATATATACCTGGGTATATGTGCAGAATTCCACCAGGACTGCCGTTGGGCTCTTGTTGATAATAACTGTTTGTACATTGGATGTATGTACTAATATTAATCTTTTGCCATACTGGTATGTTGAGTAGATGCAGCGTGGTGAGGCTGGCAGTAACCACACAGAGTATCATTTTTCAGGCTGCTCCTACAGGCATTTAAGCTGTTTTGAGCTTTTATTTTCTCTGCTTGTTAACTCCCCTCCATGTCAGCCTGTGTGTCTGTGCACACTATAGGCAGTTTCAGGAGTTTAGAGGCAGGGGAGTATTTCAGGAAAAAAATCATCACTTGTGTGTTTAGGAGAGGAGCTTTTGAGCATAATAAATGCTCAAAAGTGAAAAAATGCGCATCAGCACATGAGTCTTTAATAGACTCTGCCTGACCCAAGATGGCTGGCAGAGTCACATGGGACCAGGCCATCCAATCGGATCACTGTCCCACATGATGGAAGAGATCATGGAGAAACCCGGTTTCAATAAACTTCCTCATTGCTGCCACAGTAGAGCACCATCTGCAAAGAAGACCATAGACTGCATTTGCCTACATGTGTGTATGTATATACTTGTGGTTAATGCTATATGCTAGCTGCAGTAGCTCCTCTGCTCCCAGTTACTTTGATCAGATTGTTGTTTAATTTCCCAGGATGGGTATCCTCTCACAGAGGCCCTGTCCTGGGTGGAGGCACTACCAACGTTATTATTAATCCCACTCTTCCACTTAGCAAAGGTTCAGACTTTCTTATGTACCTAAAGGTGTAGCACACTATCCTGTTTGGGGAGGGCCATTTCTAAAAATTACCCTAAAAAGGGCTACACATATTACATTTTATGTCTATAGCATGGCCCTGATATCACAGAATGATATGAGAAAAGAAATTCTAGATTTGACAGTCAAGTACTTTATGTATGATTTGACCTTTTATCTTTTTATACTGAAAATTTAAAATACTGAAAGAAAATTTCTGTCAGATTTTTTTTTTTTAACGTGTTCAGGGTTGTGCAGGAACACCTGAGGTGGCTATTTTTGCCACTATTCCCCACTGTTGTTGGTTGATAACACTGGTGGCCAGTTGCACAGGGTCATTGGTTGGTAGGATGTAGGTGACCAGCAGGCACAACATAATTAGTTGTTTTGGTGCAGGGGCCACTTGCATCATAAGACCCAATGGTACTGTGCAGCCTGGGACTGAATTTACACAGGGTTGCATATACACAGAGAACAGAGTGTCCAATATTGACAGTCTGGTCTCAGTGCGCCCCATTGTGACTCCACAAGTACCATCTCTGGCAGCAACTTCAGTTGGTCTCATGGTGGCATGGCCCTGTCTGCACCTCATCTAGGGAGATTTCCCTTCAATTTTTGCCCTGTAGACTCAACAGGAAGTAAGAACATATCTTTTCAGAGGAAAATCCCCTATTAAACTGTTGACATGAGAATAAGTGTCTCCCATTTCCCCTTCGTTTCTCTATTCTGGTGACAACTTAAAATTTTGGATGCATCCTAACTTTATTGCTTGGTAAAGCAGGTGATCACATCAATCACAGCAAATCTCTCTAAAACACACAGACAGCAGAAAAACTCACATCTATCCCCTCACCACTCCTTTTCTTTACTTCCGAGTGAGGTAAAATGGTTAATGTACTTTTACAATATAGTACCTCATAGGACTCCATCACCCAAAAACACAATAGACATCTGGGGGCCCAAGCAATGTTTCTAATAAAACATAACTTTTATTAGTGCAATATAAAATAGAACACAAGAATAGCATTTTTATGGATATATGTTCTATTTTATATTGCAATAACACAAGTTATGTTTTATTATAAGCATTACTCAGGTTCCCAGATCTCTATGTTTTAATGTGTTGTGATTTTTGTTGTTTAAGTGGGAACCTACAAAATGTAATCACCTACTTTTTTAGTATACTAGCTCCTATTCTATATAAAAAAATGGTGCTGCGCTACTAATTAGAGAACAATCCACAGGTGCACAACAAGTGCTAAACTACTAATCAATAAAGTGAATTATCAGTCAACATAAAAAATATACATATAAAAAGTAAATATTATGTGCTAAGGATATAAATTGTCCACGGGTGTGCAAATAACAATAGGTGTTATCAATAGCAACCAAAATAGTGACCAAAAAATTTGGTGAATGCAATGAACGCACAAAAAAAAATCCAGAGGGAGAAGTGTAAAGTGAAACAAAGATGCATGAAAAAAAAAATACAGTAAAGGAAATAAGTATTTGATGCCCTGCTGATTTTGATGTTTTGAAAGAAATGATCAGTCTAACAATCGAATGGTAGGTGTATTGTAGATCTTACCTCGTGGTGTGTCAATGATCAATAGAACAGTGTGAAATCATCCCAGAACTACACGTGAGGATCTTGTCAATGATCTCCAGGCAGCTGGGACCACAGTCACCAAGAAAACAATTGGTAACACACTACACCGACAATGATTGAAACTCTGCAGTGCCCGCAAGGTCCCTCTGCTCAAGAAAGCACATGTCCAGGCCAGTCTGAAGTTTGCCACTGAACACCTGAATGATGCAGAGAAGGACTGGCTGAAAGTATCGTCAGAAGAGACCAAAATCGAGCTCTTTGGCATCAACTCAAGTTGCTGTGTTTGGAGGTTGAGTAATGCTGCCTATGACCCCAAGAACACCATCCCAACTGTCAAACATGGTGATGGAAATATTCTGTTTTGGGGGTTTTTTCTGGGGATTATGGACGGGGCAATGTACAGCCAGAGCATTGAAAATAGGTCGTGGATGGGTGTTCAGCATGACAATGACCCAAAACACACGGCCAAGGCAACAAAGGAGTGGCTCAAGAAGAAGCACATTAAGGTCCTGGAGTGGCCTAACCAGTCTCCAGACCTTAATATGATTGACAATCTGTGGAGGGAGCTGAAAGTTTGAGTTGCCAAACGTCAGCCACCAAACCTTTTAATGACTTGGAGAGGATACTTATTTCCTTCACTGTATATATATATATATATATATATATATATATATATATATATAAAAATAAAGTCAATAATTGAGACAGGAAAAACAATTGAGTCAATGGTGGAACATCTGGCATCA